TATTTTGCACCATCTGATAGTTTAGACTACCAGATGCTCCTAGAAAAATAGTTTGGGGGCTAAATTTGCACTTTTATCCTCTCTTTTTTTTGGTTATAAACTCTTCATATTTCTTTTTGGTGTAAACAAACTCTCCTCTTCATGTTTTAATTTATCTAATTCATTAAGAAGAAAAACCAAAATTTTAATTGATTTTCTTGGGTCTAATGGTAATTCTTATAAATTAATTTTTGTCTTTTTAATGTTAGATATTGTTGTGAAGTGCGCAACTAATAAGCAGAAATAAATACGATAAAAATTAAATATTATAAAAAGTTAAAAAAATAATAAAAGATGACACATGAAATTTAATTAAGAAAACTTGGGACAAAAAATCCAAAGACAACAAACCAAAATTTTTAACATAAAAATAAAAATTATAATAATTATCTTTGGTATGGATAATTGAAAGACAATAAGAGATATATATATATATACATATATATAAAACTTTTTATCAGATAAAAATATTATCTTAAATAATAATAAATATCTCTTAAAATTTTAAATAAAAGTATTAGAGATATGAAGGATTTAAATTAAGATAATATATGAAAATAATCGCAAAGGATCGTATAGATTTTAAGTCATAATCTCAACATATACATAAATTACTATAATTTGTTGTTAATTTGATGGCAATTACCTCTTCAAAAATCTTTCTTTTTTCTTCTTTTTTCAAAATTTAGGAACACCGAAACTACTAATTAATTAAAAATATCAATATGCAACAAAAATTACAAATGAAGTATCTCGTTTTCAGACGATAAAATAAACAAGGGTGACTATAAAACTCGTCTTTAAAAAGGTAAAAAGATCAAGTTTTAGCTGACAAAGCAACAAAAAGACTTCACGCGGTTTGTTTTATTATGAGTACAAAATAATCAATTTTCTTGGGACTTGGGACCACCTTCAACAACAGGCACAAATCCTATTACTTGGTCTCTCTCTCCCACCTGCTCCAAGCTGTATAATCGTATTTACAAGCCTCTTGTAAACAAATTGCTACAAGATTGGAGGGACCGTTTGTGAATCAGAGCATCTGCAAGGACTGGTTTTAAAATCTTCGGCTTGGCACCAAGACAGAATCTTTGTCAGAGAATAATCTTCAGGTGTTAATCTAATTGTTTGATAGTTCTTCATCTTTACACCCTCTCATTGTGCTCCATGCCTACATTTTTCCCACTATGTTGCAGAAAACACAAGCAGAACACTGTAACCTTGAGCGGGACTTTAAAACATATGCTTAAGCTTAAAGTATATATATATTTTTTCCAGTGGCTGATATTTTATTCTTCCTCTTTTCCCCTCAAATTTGGATGGCCAGCCATTGATAAGGGCATGAAATTGAGCAACTGCTCATGGATGTCATTAGATTCAGGACTGTACAAACACAGGCTTCTTTCTGATTTATTTTCACATCTCCTAATTGGGCATTTCAAGAAGAGGCTAGTCATTGAAGAATTCACTATGAAATCACAAAAGCTTCTCACTCTAGTACAAACAACATGTACATTACCTATTCACAAAACAGTCACATTCCTATAATTGGATCATGAACTAGCCAACTAGGACTCTGATAGATATACTTTCCTTTTTGTAAGTGATCTATTATCAGGGGTTTCCATTTGTGTCTCTGGTGGTGGTCCAGAGAGCGCAATGACTGTTGATACTGGGGATGCTGCATCTCCTTGTTGCATAGGTGAATCTGTGGTGCTGACGTAGTCCCATCTGGAAGAACAGCCAATTACATCTTCTTGTGCCCTAATTGTGGGCCCATACAAATGAGTTTCTTGAATAAGCTTTCTGCTATTAAACTACTTAACTAACTCAACTGCTCTTATCCAAACTGTCAAATCACTTGTGGGTCCAGTGCCCTCTGGATCCATATTTTGAGTTATCTGCAGAATCTTTGTGAATGAATGATAGAAAATAGTAAACAGATGGTAGATGTGGCCCCAGAAATGACAAAGAGAACCCAGAAACTTTCAAGCTTCAAACTGTTTGTATCATTGGAGGTTGCGTTGCTGATGCACTCGTTTGATTGATATAACCATTTTGCTTGCAAGTTCGTTAGTTCTCCATCCTCTGACAGCTGCAATATTGCTTTAGAAACATCTTTGGCCACTGGGGAGCCTTTTTGGAACATCTGCATGATGTGATTGATAAGGAAAATCCAAGTTAAATGTTTAACCATGTAAATGTAGATGAATCATGTTTATTATAATTACATGACTGAAATCATATTGTGTCCAAGTCTTATTCCTAAATTTTAGAAGGACAAGGAAAGTTAAAAAGACATGGAATCCTATTGTTACTTACAAATCCTAGTCCTCCAAATCTAGTTGTTGGTGTGGAGCCAGAATATTCCTTGCAGTAGGTACTTATGTATACTTTTTCATAAGGGAGTTCGAGAAAAGCTACTGCGATAGAATTGTTTTTGAATTCACCATCATAAGAGTACTCACTACTTATGTTGATGATGTTTTCTGGCTTGAACTGTTCAACTTTCTCTAGGTATGATCTAACAAATGAGTCACCATCACAACCAATTTTCATGTTGTTCATCTTCAGCCACTCAATGTCTGTGACATTTGGCTGCAGCTGTTGAACTGTTAATATTGAAGAAAGACTAGCTGTGTAGCTTGAGGTCAGAACCATGACTAGAAGAAGCCATGCTCCCATCACCACACGAGATAAGTTGCCATGCATTTGCTCCCCTGTGAGATTAATCAAAGCATTTAGAAATTTCAATTGACATTTTTTAGCATACAATCTTTGGCTTTCTGAAAATGTCTAGTAACTGTCTGAAAGTGAAATGTGAAGTTACCAAACATGTCCTAAGTTCAATTTCATTTTTAGCCTAAGAAGAAGCACTGGTACTGACACAAGGTACTGATGACCATGAGACATGACAAAATTGGTAATGAATCCTAGTAGTATTGCTCTGTAATCTCCAAGTACAATGCAAAGTGCTAGATGGTACAGTTTAGCTTGTTCAATGCAGCAAAGAGTGTTATTCATTGAAGTTTAGCAAAAATGCTTACTCTGAGCAAAGAATAGGGAGGAGAAGGTAAACCAAAGAGCAGTGCTAAACTGTCTCTTCCAATTGCCACGAAACTCTGGGTTAGGTACTCGTTCGAGGTACCAAACTACTAACATTGTGTAAATCAAGATTGCACCCGTAACCGCCCACATTTGCCAGGTGAACGGCTTTAGAAACATCCATGCTGACTCTTGAGACTTCATTGGAACTATCATGGACAATCCTGATTCTGCATAAGGCAGAGTAAAATCCACGTATTGCAGTCTCTCTGCTAGTAGGGTCATGTCACCAACCACTGCATCATAAGTCTTCCACCACCATTGTTATACCATGACAACCAAAAGAAGTAAAAGGAAATGACTTATTAGTTCCCTGATGTTGAACCAAAATGGTACATAAATTCAAAGTTAACAAGACTCAGTACTCTATATAAGCTATGAAGTATACATGTGCACGCACACCATATACTTGCTTAGAAGTAAAGACAAAAAATGATGGGGACCCAAATTCTTGAGATGCTAGATTGATAGAACTGTACGTTAGAAATCAAGATTAACTAATTAGTTAACTTTCAGGAATGAAAACAATGATTGGCTTCAAAAAAGGAAGGAAGTGCTTGCTAGTTAAGGCAGGAAAAAAAATATCATACATTTGGCTGCTTAAACTTCACCAAGAATAATTTCTTTTTTGTTTTTAACAGAGCTCTAGTAAATGATGTCTGATATAAATTTTTCTTTTGTTTTTCTAAAAAGGAGAGAAAACGTTGGATGAAGAAGAATTGCTACCTTGTTGTACACAAGTTGAACCAGATCAGGATAAGTTACATTGAGGGGATGAAACTCATAGGGTAGATCATATTCCAAAAGCCCAAGCACCTTGTCGAAAACCTCAATACAGAATCCACTGTATTTATTCTGATCTGGACTGTTTCCATAGTCAACCTTGACAAACTTTGAAAATGAAGTTCTTCCTGGAACTGCAATTCTCATTGGGTTTTGCTTCATAGGCATATTCCAACCTTTTGGAGCTCTATGCAAATTCCCTGGCCATTGTACTACACCAGCCAAACTTAATGCGCTGGCAGTAGCATTTTCTTCACTTTTTCCTGTAGGCAGGCCTGTAGTGAACCCATTTTCTTGAGTCCAAAAGTCTATTTCTTTATAACTCTTTCCAACTACATTTACTAACCTTAGGATAGGATTCTGCAAGAGCTGACCTGCTTGAAAATGAATTTCCCCACTTAAACCTACAAAACTGCTAGACCATATTTCTCTTAGCAAAGCCTTTGTGCTGCTACTATTGTTCCTTGCCTTTCTTTCTACTGCTTGAATGACAACTTTGATGCTATCATATGCTTGCAAAGCATTAAATCCTGGGTTGCTGTTATCTTCCTCAGGATTCCTTGCGTGAAATTTTTTCCTGAACTGAGCTCGAAATTCTTGATACTCACTGCTATTTTCTGAGTAGTGTGTCTTGATTCCTAAAGACCCTCCCATATAGGAGGAAATAACAGACTTGTCCACAGAGTCAAGCAAATTAGTTATGCTCTCTGAGATTATCCAAGCTGAATCTCTATCCACAAGTCCCATCTTTGAACCTTCTCTGAACAAATGAGTCACCATTTCCAAGGATGAGTGCAAAACAATGAAAACACGAGATTGAGTTTGCTTTACCAACTTAATCAGCTCTTGATTGATTAGCCCTCTTGAATCTGAATCTGATAAAACTGATATTGGTGGAAGAGCTAACTGGTACTCAATTACCGAACCAAAGTCTTGGAGGGCCTCAGAAAGGAGTGACAACATCCCATAGTCTCCACCACCATAGCCATCATCTTCATGAATGACTACTACTCTTTGCCAACTGAAAGCATTCACTATGTCTGCAATGCATTTTACTTGTGCAGTCACATTGTTAGCTAGCCTTACCAGATAAGGCCATCGTTTCTGTGTCAATGGTGTGGTAATTGCAGGTGAGACAAGGGATATGATTGGAACTTGAGCTTGGCTTCCAACTTCAGCCGCTAGAGTTGCTTCTTGCCATGTATGCATCCCTATAATTACTTCTACTTTCTGCTTTCCAATTAACTCTTCAGCTGCAACCAGGTTTAGCACAATTAAGAGGGAGCTGTACAAACTAAACCAAAAGGCTGAACATAGGTTGACTTTCATTTTGGTCTTCCCATGATTCCTTTTTTTTGGGGGAAAAAATCTAGTCATTCAATTGTTACATTGTAGCAACGTTTCCCTGCTATCTTATTGCTGTTCAAAATTTGAAGGTCAATATTTTTAATATTCTGTTGACTTGGATTCTAAATTTAAGGTGAGTTCACAGTGATGGGTAAACAACTAACACCGAGGCAAAAAAACTTTTATATTCAGCTTTACAAATTACAAGCACTTTAATGAGTGGGAAACGAAATTATTAGAAATGATAAAGACCAAATTAAAAGTTGACTCTATTTGTCAGTGTTTTTCTCAGATGATGTTCTTTGCAAATGCTATAGATTGCTTACCAAGAGAGGTGACTCTGAAGGCTTCCTTGGTGGCGTTCCGGAAATAGAGAGCCAGTTTGTGAGTCTTTGATGTGTTGTTGTAGTTTTGAGCTTCAATTTCCATGGCTATTTGCTGCTCTCTACCAATTCTGGAGTTAACATCAATAATTGCACCGATACGTATAACTTCAGTGTCTCCTTTTGTAGACTCATCTCCGTAGCCATGAAAGATAACACACGAGATGAGCAGAAAAGAGAATAGCCAAAATCTTGAAAGTGTTCTAGGAATAGTAAAAGAGAAACTCATTTGGGATTCTGAAGCTGAAAACAAACGTTGAGAATGTTATTTTGTGATCAAGGTTTGCATTACGGCACATACAAATATCATTGTATGCAAAACAAGAAATCCATGAATTCTACGGAGGTCATTGAACATGGAATTATGACTTTGTCAAGTATGAAGTCGACATTGCAGTTGAAGACAAAGGTGCTAGCTAACGTTATTTGTAGAAATTTTTCATAAGCGTATTATATGTGGTGCACACAAGAGGTGCTAAGTTCCTGTACAGCGAACTCTCAAGTATTTTCAAAGATTTTGTTTAATTCTAAAAAATTTCATGAGACCTTGAATGATAAGTTCAGTAAAAATGATGGCTTGTTTTTTAGAGGTAGCATATCCTTTATAAGTATGGTCCATATGAGCTCAAACCTAAAAGCCGTTCGCTTCAAACCTGGCCCTTTTGGACCGGGCTTTGGGGTCTGATCATAAGTTTTTTTATATTTATTTCTATTTTTTTAAGTTTTTTAATTTTTTAAAAATATACTTATTTTTTTATAATATTATATTTTTTAAAAAATACAAATTATAACATTCAAAAATTAAAAATGAATAATATAAATTATAATTTTAAAGTATAAGCACAAATTCTAATATATAATATAATATTATAAATTTTTTAATATTTTAACTCTTTCTCCTCTAATGACCAACTTTTTCATGATCTAGCACTACGCGAGCAGTGAGTCCCTTTTTTTTGGGGCTTTTGTATGTGGACCCTCGGTTTGTTGTATTTCTCCTCTCTCTTTGTTTTTTTTTTAAAATATTTCTTCTATCTTTACTTGGGGTGAATGACGTTTAGATCGAAATTGAACTTTGGATTAATGATGTTTATATTTTGACAAAATTAAAAAAATTTGAATCACAAATATTAATTTTAATAAATACAAATTTAAAAGTTTCAATTGTAAATAGTACATTTAAATTTTAAATGTAACTCTCAGATTATATTTAGGATTTTGTTTGTAATTATCTAAATCGATATTTGTAACTTATTATTTTTAACTTTTTGTCAAATATTTAATTATCATTAATTTAATGTTTGGAAACTAATTGTCATTCTTTCTTTACTTTTTTGTCACTTTCTATTTTAATTTTTCCCCAAAAAAATTCTAATAAAATAAATTACTTTATTTGTACATGTTATGTATTTTTAAGTGTTAAAAGGAATTTCTGCCCTTAAATTATTCGCATAGAAATGTTTGGTGGCCTAAATTTTTCCATGGTGTAAAATTTTCTTTCAATATTTAGAAACTGTACAATTTCACCCTCACTGTGAAATAGGCTAAATGTGATCATTAGTTGATCCAAAAATTACAAAAAATAATTTCATTAGGCTAAACTGTACAAGCTTTTTTTAGCCTTCCAAAAAAATAGCTAACATTATTTGCACAAATCCATGAATTATAGAGAGGTCTGAACATGGAATTTTCACTTTGTCAAGTGTTAGGTAACATTATTTGCAGAAATTTTTCGTAAGTGTAAGGATTTTTAAAGACTATGAATTCTATGAGTTGAACGAGGATGGTGATATTGATTTTGACTGAGTGTTACGTATACGTATTATATATGGTTCACACAAGAGTTGCTAAGTTTCAATGCAGCGACTTCTCAAGTATTGTCAAAGATTTTGCTAAATTCTAAAAGATTCCATGAGACTGTGAATGATAAGTTGGGTAAAGATGATGTAGGTTTGTTTCTTAGAGTCAACATGGCTTTTATGGATGCGGTTCATATAGACTTAAATCTAAAAACCTATCTTAAAGTCATCCATTGCTTCAAACTTAATCTTTATTTTTATATTTATTATAATATTATTTTTTAAAATATAAATTATAATGTTTAAAAATTGTAAATAAATTATATAAATTTTAGTTTTAAAGTATAAATATATATATTTAAATAAGTAATATAATATTATAAATTTCTTAATGTTTCAACTCTTTTTTTCCTCGCTGGTAAAAACAGAAAAAAGAAAAAGCAGAAGAAAAAACTCTCTCTCTCCTCAAATGACCGACCGACATTTCTATGATCCAGTGCTGTGCAAGTTGCGGGTCCCCTTTTCTTGTTATATGCTTTTTGTATGTGGACCCCTGGTTTGTTATCTCCCTCCCTCCCTCTCCCCCCCTCTCTCTCTGATATTTAATATCCCCCCCCCCCCCTCTCTCTCTGATATTTAATATTTCTCCCCTCTTTACTTGCAGATAATATTTTTAAATTTTAAATGTAACTAAGATTGTATTTAAGATTTTTGTTCGGAATTATCTAAATCGATAATTATAATTTATTTTTTTTAAATTTTTTTTGAAGGACCTAACGGCATTAATTTATATTTTGAGAATTAATTGTCATTCTTTTTTTTTTTACTTTTTTGTCACTTTCTATATTTATTTTTTTCCCTAAAATATTCTAATAAATTAAATTATTTTTATTTGTACATATTATGTATTTTTAAGGGTTAAATGGTATTCCTGCCCATAAATTATTCGTACTGAAATGTTTGGTGTTCTAAACTTTTTTATGGGGTAATATTTCCTTTCAACATTTAGAAACAATATAATTTTACCCTTATTATTAGATAGGTTAAATGTGACCATTAATTGACCTAGAAAATTACAAAAAAGAACTTCAAAATTACATTAAAAGATCTTATAAGAAAATTAATATCGATTAAGGGATAAATAAATTTCAAGATACTAATATTATTTTTTACTCATATAAAAAACAAATGATACAATTTTGATTAACCACTCTAACAATTTACTGAGTGATTATCAAATTATTTTTGCTAGCTGGCAATAACATCAGTAAAAATTATTAAATATTAAAGTGTGAACAATGATGATCTGATAATGAACATACAACAATTGTCGTATGATCAATTTCCTCCTTTAACAATAAAAAATGGTACAATGTTAGCCTTATCATCAACAATTAAAAGACTTATATATTTTAGAGGAAAACTTATAATTTATCACACTATTTTAATTTACAACTCACCTAATATGAAAATATGCTCACTTATATATCTTGGATATACTAGTTGAGCTGTTAATTTAAAAAAAATTAAAAATTTTGTGGTATGATTGAGATAGCATATTTTAAAATAATTTGTATTAAAATAAAACAAAATTATTGTTTTATATTTTTAATATGCATGAGGTAAAATGTTTTTAAGGATAACAAGTTGTTTTTATTATCATACACAACACCTTGATCCACCCCGTAAAAAATTAACATCGATTATCACTTATCACTTCATGTAGATCAAGGAATCATTTTACATCTGCAAGCTAAGGATGAGGCCTGAGATGCAGAATCAAGAATTGTCATTACTTGTTTATGCATCAAAGAGATTGAGTTTACAACTATATATGGAGGCCCAAATTGGAAAGATAAGTGATGGAGGCTTCCAAATGAACTGAGAGACATAAAAGGACATGCAAGGCATGAGGATATGAGCTATGAGCCAATGAGTTTAGACCTGCTTTCATCCAATGAATCTAATATAAATGGCATCCTTAAGATTTGTAATTTTAGGTTAACTCTTTTGTGTTTAATAATTTAAGTTTGTAATGGGTTTTAAATAAACCCCAAACCGTGTTTAGAGTTTTTTTTTTTTCATTTTCGTTTGGATTTTATTGGTGTAATTTTTTTTTAATAGGAGAGATATCTAATAACTTATTAATTTATAGGCCTTTAGGTTTGGCTTGGATGAAGGGAAAAAAGGGGGGGGGGGACAATAGAGATGAGTGAAAATTAGGAGAAAAAAATTTCCCAAAATAATTAATTTTGTTACTCTTTATTTTTGAAAGTTTTCCCTCCTAATTTTCTTTCCTCTCTATTTTTCTACTCATCCAAACAAAAGATTAGGTTTACGGTTTAAGTGAATCAATCTAAATTTCTTTCAGTCAGATTTTAATTTGAAAAAAAATATCATTTAAGGACTTTTGGAGAGTTTTTATATCAAAGGATGACCTTACAAATTTAAAATTTCTCTACACCCCTAAGTACCTATTTGAAGATAATATTTTGTGAGAAAAGACCTAATTACCCCAAAGATTTTTAATTTTGACAAGTGACCATTCATGATTAACAACCCATTCAAAAATGAATAAGTTACAAAAACTGATAATATAGGTTTAATTATATAAGTGTTGGTCCTATATAAATAAGTATCCATTCAAGTTTTTAATAAGTAATCTTATGTAATTAATAATAATTCACTCAAAATTAACAAATTACTATAATTAATAGCACAAGTTTAATTGTATAAATATTGGTCCTATATAAACAATCATTCATTCAAGTTTCAACAATTAATCACATGTAATTAATAACAACTCATTAAATTATTAAACTTTACGGGTAATTATATCTTTTATCAGAAAATCTTATTTTCATATAAGTATTAAGGGATTGAAGTGAAATTTCAGATTTTTAATATTCTTATTTGATATAAAAAATTTTCAAAAGTTCTTAGATGATATTTTACCTCTCACTTTTTACATGGTGACAAAGGTTTGTCACGACCACATTTGTTTTTTTTTTTTTTCTTATTCTTGCATATCAAATTGATTTGGAGCATTTGGCAAAGATTTCTTGTAGACCCACATGCAGTTAATTTCATGAATATTGTTTATTAACAAAAAATTCATGAATACTCAACCGTACGTTGAAATTAACATTCGTGCTAATTAAACGAGTCTAATGTTCACATGGAATGGGAAGTAATTTTATTAGTGAGTGTGACACTATGACTGGGACTCATTTCAAATTGTGCATTCTACCTCAAACCCTAAATTTAGTCATTGTATTGTTCCTTGAAAATGAAAAAGGAAGGCACCTAGCAATTTAAACAGTCAAATTCAACATACGTTGGCGTTAATTCTTGGAAATTAATTATTTATTTTACTATAAATAAAATTAAACCACTCTAATAATAAAGGGCCAATCGCAAGAATTGACCAGCTCTCCTTTATTTATTTTTTTATAATTGATACACACACTCT